TGTTCCAACAGAGAGCTTGCCGTGAGAGGCAGATAAGAGTGACTGTGAAGACGGCAGATTAGTAGGCAACAGTGCATTAAACTTCCTTCGAAGTTTGCGGCCCACTAAGGCTTCAGCAGGGGAGACACCACCAGGAGACGCCGGGTAAGGGGTGGTCCTACAGGAAAACAGGAACGCATGGAGTATCTAATCCGAGGTCCCCTCTCCACGAGCGTTCAAAAGAGCTCGTTTGAATGTGTCGATGAAACGTTCCGCCGGACCGTTAGATTGGGGATGGTAGGGCGCGGAACGAAGATGCTGAATGTGGTGTTGGGGGCAGAAATCTTCAAAGGTCGACTACGTAAACTGAGAGCCATTATCCGACACCAGAACATCCGGTAGGTCATGTTGGCTAAAAATGCACTGTAGAAAGGCGATGGTGGCAGATATGGTCGCCGGATTCAGCGGTGCAATTTCGGGCCACTTTGAGTAGGCGTCGGCCACGACTAAGTAATCGACTCAGTCGCGTGGGCCAGCAAAATTGATGTGCACACGTGACTAAGACCTATCCGGTGTTGGCCACAGTACTGGTGGTTGACGAGCGGGCATTTTGGCGGGTTATTAACAACAGGAACAGCGCCGAACGAGATCGCCGATGTTGCTGTCAATACCTAGCCATTAGGCAAAACTGCGAGCGATGGACTTTATTCAACTGGTATCAGGATGAGCAGCATGAAACTGGCGTAGCACAAAAGGTCGAAGTGAAGGAGGAATCAAACATGCGGAATACAAACATGAGACAGGAATCAACCAAAGACAGCGACGCTCGACGCAGGAAAAGCTGGTGAAGATCGCCAGTGAGAGCAGTGGTTAGCCAACTGGTTTGCACATAGGTGCTAGCTTGGCGAAGAACGGGATATTGTTCGGTAGCGCAGTGAATGTCGGCGGCAGTTAAAGGTATGCCTAGCATGGCGTCCGAAAGCTGACGGCCTACATTGTCATCAATCGAAATGGCAATCATCACGGTATATTTCTCAGGTTCCTGATGATTGCAGATGAGGCGGGAAAGGACGTCAGCCTGACCAAAGTTAATAGTGCGACGGTAATGGATGTCAAACTCGTAACCGAAAATAAGAGTTGTCAATCGTTGAATTTGTCTTGACTAGTTCGCGTCGAAGCGAACTTTCTCAAAGCTCACTGCCGCTGTTCTCGATTTCTGGGAACAGCCAATCACAGATG